ATTGAACCCTGAAACAACCTCTGGGCTGATCTAAGTCAGGGCATGGCTAACTCACAGATAGAACCCTGAAACAACCTCTGGGCTGATCTAAGTCGGGGCACAGCTAACTCACAGTTTGAACCCCAGAACACCACCCTTGATAGTATTTAACAATATTCTTATTTCATTTCAGATATACTGGTCTTATCAATGCATTTGTTAGAATATACGAACAAGAAGGAATAAGAACTTTCTATCGAGGTTATGTCCCTACATTAATAGGAATCGTGCCCTACGCTGGAATAAGCTTTTTTACGTATGAAACTTGCAAGAAACTATTTAGTGAACATTTTAATCAACAACACATCACTCCTCTCCATCGTTTAGCATTTGGTGCATGTGCAGGTTTGTTTGGTCAGTCAACAACGTATCCGTTAGACATCATACGACGACGCATGCAAGCCGATGGGATGCATGGCGAAAGACGCAAGGAGTATGCGCATATATGGACTACTGCGAAGTATGTTTACAAGACAGAGGGTTTAAAGAAAGGACTATTTAAAGGATTAAGTATGAATTGGGTTAAAGGACCAATTGCCGTTGGAATTAGTTTTACAGTATTTGATGTAATGCAAGCATTTTTTGATCGGCATGTCCTTCATGACAAGACATAACTGTTAATTCTGGTAATTGTTATAATGCTAAATATAGACAGTACTGTTGTCCATCATGTGTGAGATAACCATTGATGTTATCAATTAAGCTTGCTTTTGAAGGTAACAAAATATTGACACGTGACTGGTAAAATTATTTACCCATTATTAGAAGTTATTTTTTTGAATGAACGTCAATCCGAGTGTCAAAAACATTTAATGAAAATCTTACATTTCGATACTGTAAATCCTGCATGGCACATCAAAGACCAATTAACAATTATTCGCCAAAGGCAAAATGAATATCGGGTAATATTTACCGAGACGTGACTCTGAGCAGCGAGGTAAATATTCTCCGCTATTCACTGAAGGTGAGGCAAATAATTGTCTTGGTATAAATACACAGGCGATTCTTTCAAAAAAAAAAAAAAAGAAAAGAAAAGAAAGAAAGAAAGAAAGAAAAAGAAAAGAAGAAGATAAAAACATTTAAAATTAGGAAAAATTTTAATTGAAGTGACAAACGTGGCTTTCAATTACAACACAGGCAAACTCCGACTTTGAGAATCTCGACCAATCAACGCACGAGATTTTCAATGATTACCTGTGTACTTTACTAAATCTGGATTATTACTTTCATGAGATTTCTGATTGACAGGTGTCTGTCAAAATAATACTAAGAAGAACCAATAGGAGAATCAGAAATTAAAAGGGAATCCTTTCAAATCAGCCAATCAGAAGACAGGATTATGATTGACATATGTCAGTCAAACAGGTTATAATATACAGTATAAAAATGAATAAGATATTATTTAGGAAACGTTGATTTCCTGATATTTAGTTCTGGTCCTATTTTGATTATTTCTGTTGATATAAGAATGTTGACTCAAAATAAAAAAATATTTGAACTATTTTACAGTCAAAGTATTGAAAACATAAAGCCATATTAATTTTTTTATGATACTGTATTTATATTTTTATCTCAAACGTATGTTATCTATATGATCTTTCTTGTAAAATGTGCTAATGATTTTCTTGATCAGAACTCAAGACATTTCTTTACTTCAAAATATTTTATTTAAGAGCTTCAGAGATTTTTGGTACAATTTTTCTTATGACACACAAGTTGTCACTGTTTTCCCATTACTTCTTTATTATCCTTTTTTTAACAACTTTATTGGGATTACTACTAAATTACACGAAGAAAGAAAACCTATAACAAATGAAAAATTCAAGGACTTAACGAGTAGAATGATGCAAAATCAAAAAAATAATCAAGTAACCCAAAAGGTTGGTGTGGGAATGGGACAGGACTACCCATGCGAGGCACTCCCCCCCCCCCCCCCTCTAGGCAGGATTTTAAATTATAAGTAAAAAATGTACTAAATACTCAAGTCTTTAACAAATTCTTATCCTTGTGGTAAAGACGGTCTCATGTTTGCTGTATTTCTTGATTACAGACTCATTTACTCAGGGTTAGCCTCTGATTCATTTACTGACAGTGTTATTCCCTTGAGCGTACAATTCTTTGTTTTAGTTACTTGTATCCATATTCAAGTGTCTTCTGACAATGTCAGGCTAATATTGAGTAATTAAATCTGTATTCAAGGAACACAGTGATATTTTATAAATTCAAAAGATATCACAGCACCATTTAGAGTGCAGAAAGCCATGTTTTTGGTATGAATTTAACGTATGGAAACCTTAGCTTAAATTGTAATTTTTATCACAATTATAATGTAGCAAATAAATTGTTGAAATAGCTAAGAAATGGCTATCTATCATATGTCTTTCTCCTTGAAAATTGGTTTAACAGGGTTAAGATAATTGTATAGCATTGCTGCAGAAGAAACTGTGCCGAAAAAACCAACCACTGTTTGATTGAAGGTTCCAGACCACAGGAATCCAGGAGGAAGCCAGTGAATTGCATTACAAGCATCAGCAAGGCTTACAACAATTGTTACAATGAGCTGTCGTTCCCTTGCCTTGGTCCAGAATTTTTGTTCTTGGAGATAGCGAGCCTCTTGTAGTTGTCTGTCAATGCCGGGTTGGTTAACAGTTCTTGACTGTGTGTGCTCCTCTAAGCTCGTCCTAAATGCGTGGGAAAGTATATCAAATTGTTGACATAGGACGAAAACGGTTCCAAGTAGGGAGAGCATCGTTATGTAAATGTAAAACAATGTTAAACATGTAAATCCAAATTTTGGACCAAAGACAACGAGATGTAGAACTACAATATTTTGACTTTATTTAAGTCATAATCATGTGTGAAAACAAGACTACAGTAATGATATTTATATCAATGAGCTAACGATAGACCTACTAGAGCAAAAACTATAGAAGAGAAAAGGAGGGAATCTCCCTTGAGGCTTCAAGAGATTAGATTTATTTTAGATTTTAGATTTATTTTAGATTTATTTTAGTGTTAATAGGCCCGAAGCAAGATGATGTTTTACCCCCGTCTCTAGACCATAATCCTTTTCACACTGCTTTTGTTCTTTAATTATGACTATTGTTCCTGTATTCTCTAAGGAATCAAAAAAGTTTAATATGAAAGAATTTTAAAATTCATTATGGTATAGAGTTGGGGGTAAAACGTCATCTTGCTTCAGGCTTATTCCTTCCTTTTCTCTTCTATAGTTTTTGCTCTAGTATGTCTATTGTTAGCTCTTTGATATAAATATCATTGTTTGGAAGGTGTTTTGAATTATCTCGACACACACTGTGCCACACCTACCCTGTTCCTGCTTCTTCTTCCAGCCTTTTTTTTCCTTCTTTTCTCCAGTTTTCAACATCTTTTCTTAAGCGTCTCAGAAGCCATAAACTCTGAATAATGCTGACACACAGGGAGCCCAACCAGAGAAGAATTCCCACTGCCCACAAAAGATTTGTTTTGCCTTGGAGGATTTTGTTGTCTCTTGCCCAGGCAATGTGTTCAACTGGATAGTATGCTTGACCAAGGAAGTTGTCAATTAAAGTCGTTAAACGAAGAAATAGGTCTTCTTCCTGTTATGATGAGAGAAGTTTTATTTTATGAGGATTGCTGTGTTGCAATCATCTGATAAAATGCTTTGAATATTATTATCAGCTCCAAATGGCAGTGAAATAAAGTGCAAACAATTAATCCATGAAACAGTAATTACTAAATAGTACGAAATAGTGCTAATTAAACAATAGAAAACAACAGAATTTGCATGAAATTGTGCTATTTAGTATTACTAAAGTTTCATGGTTATATTGTTTGCACTCTACTACGAGCAAACAAGAAACCCCCAAACCCCCAACATTTGATGACACTAGCGTAGGGAGGATTGCATGTGACCTACCCAAAAGTTTGCTCTCAGCACCAAAATTTAATTAATTAATCGTGGGACTCTTGTTGATTTGGCGGGAAAATGGTAAAATGCCAACCCCCCTCCCCCCTCCCCCCTATAAATCTAGACTTCACTATACCCATGTTTGATGACATGCAATCTAAAAGACCCGAAAAGACTCGAATTACGTTTCAGAACTAAACTACCAAACCCCTTTTCAAAATATCTTTTCATATTCAAAATTAAAACTCCTTTGAGAATAACAAGATAATAGTGAACATTAGCATAACATAAAGAGATACCGAAAAAGATTCTTAAAAGTGTAGGTATAAAACGTCTTCATGGTAAAGATCTATCTTTAAAAGAATCAAACATGTTATGCTCATTTAAATCTTATCCACAAACGACCAGAAGTTTGAAATTCGTAAGCTAAATTATTATTAAACTGGTATAAAATGATACCTTAGATCCAACGCCATAATTCTTGCAATGCACCCACATCGACACATCATCAAATAGTCTCAAAACAGTCCGGGTTTCGTTCAAATTACCCGATAAAATCGTTAGACTTTTAGCTAAAGACCTCAGTTTCGTATTACTAAGGAGTCCTCCTACGAAACCACACGAATAAGCAGTCAATCGGATGATTTTATCGCGTCCACGATAAGTTTCTAAAATCTCTGCCAAACGAGAGTCCATTTTTGTTTTGTTTTGTCACGTAACACAGGGAACCCAACTATGTGATTACAAAGGTCACGACCACAGGGAGCCCAATACATATAAATAATAAATTCAACAACAAAAATCGAAAAATAACTTGTAGTTAGTATTTTATTTATGTATACTTTTTATGCTATCCTTTTCCAAAAAAACGTTGGTCAAGGTTTTTGGCAATATTTGAAGTTTGAAAAATTGAAAAGCTATTACTAGTAAATCCATTTTGAAAAGAACCGATCTCAAAGCTCGCAATGCATTAACGCAAACTTGTGAAATTGTCACCCGAAATATAATTTATTCATATCTCGCCAAGGTCATTCTTTAGAACGTTTGCCGGGGTTGAGGTACCCGGCGCGGGAGAATACACCACCGTTTCGACGTCCAAAACAACACGATATATAAGAGGTTAATATAGAATTGAGGAGTTTAGGAGTCTATAACAAGGATGCCCTGTTTGTTAAGCGAAGGTAAAGTAACTTAACACAAATATATTGTGTAATTATCGAATATCACGTACCCTCTTCTTTATTTAGCAATCAAAAGTTAATCTTTATCCATGTCAATAACGCGCGCTTAGCACCAAAATAACGTCCTAAAAATTAAAAATCCCATCTCTATAGCTGGTAGTTTTCTTCTCTTGGTAATAGGACATTTTGAATTTACGGCTTAAAGGAGATAAAATTCCGATTAGCATTTTTTTAAATGCAAATGAGCTAAGAGAACGTGAAACTGTGAAATAAATAAATACCTCAATTTATTAGTAACGAAGAAAAAAATCGTTCAGCAATTAGTTAATGTCGATATTTGGGTGAATTTTTTTGAACTTTTTTTTGAATATTATTTAAAAAGATTTATTCTGATTTAGGAGATTTATGAAGCATATTATATCTGATAGGTGATATATATTTTTTCTTACCATAATATATTCAAAAACAGGAAACAATACCCCTAAGTTTTCGTTTATATTTCGGTATTTTTTTCAGCAGGAATTACAAACCTTAATAATTTCGATAAACGTATTTAAATTTTTGTCATTTTAGCATTATTTTTAAGTGATCTCAGCCTCTGGTAGAAATGATACGCCATGCTTTTTTGATTTTAGTTTCGATGGCTTTTATTTCCGGTTGGGAAGCCATTTAAATACCTGTCATTTCATTTGACACCTGCCATTGATTGGTTTCGGTCATCTGTAAACGTCATTTCCGGTCTCATGGAGAATTATTAACTAATGCGTTCAATCATTTATAACTGCTCTATTTTTCACCTTTCTTTTCACAAAAGCATCAAAAAATAAAAAGAATAAAATAAAATAAAAATAAATTTAAAAAAAGGAAGAAAAAAAAGAAAGAGTACATTTCTGTTTGCGCATGCGCAGTACCACCAATATCTTTAAAGTTGACTGTTTATGACCCACATGGTTCATAGGATTCAGCTTCGTTATTAACACTGAAGAAATTTTATGAATAAGAGATATCCCGCTTCCCAATCGATGCGCAGTCTTTGGTATTTTCGAGAACTTGTTTTAGGCGAAGCGATATTTGTTTGTCAATACTTAGATCTTATTAACCGAGCGGGAGGTCTGTACGGGATAATCTTGACCKMGGTCAAGATTATCCCGTACAGACCGACCAAGCTCGGTTGATAAGAATTTTATCATATGACCACTTTTCATTGAAAAGGACAAAATGTTTTCGCCGTAAGATTTATATGCGATCGGACCGGTTAATACCGGAGAATCTAGACCAGTCCGCGATGCGATCTATCCAATCAGATTGCTCGATTTGCTAGTGTCCAGGCTCTAAGATTCACGGTCATATAATAATCCATTTTACATTTCTATTCAGTGACCACGAATAATAGTTCCTAGCCGAGGATGCCGTTACCGCGCATGATAAACTGTAGTTTTTTCTATGCGCGGAAACTCCAGCCTCGGCTAGGAACTATTATTCGTGGTCACTGAATGGAACTGTAGAATGGAGTATTGCTCATTTTCACTCCATTTTTGTCCTAAACATAAAATGTGATCGATATCGATCGTTTGAAGTTTAGTAATCGATAGTTGATACCGTCTGTAGTTTGTTTTTTTTTTTTTCATACCAGCTAATCGACAGTCGTTCGTTTCTAGTTCCAGTAATCAAAGAGCACCCACAATCCTGTTCGGTACAGCTCGGCAAGGACTGTAAACTGTTTTGTTATGCTGTTGGTAAAAACCTTCGCTATCGATGGTACAAACGATCCAATCCATTGGATGGAGAGGTAGGTGGTGACGGGATGCCTGTGGTACTTTTACCAGATTGGTTAGTAATGCGCGTGTGCCAATCATAGCACGTTTCGTGCCGAGACTTCGACGGTGCAATATCCGAGCATTCTTAGCGGAGCTTTCGCATCACTGTAAAAAGTTCATTGCCTTAACCGTGCCGTGCCTTGGCTAATTTTTTGATCGCAATTTGATTGGTCTGACAGTGCCGTGAACTTGGCGTGACCGTGTCCGCGCCGTGTTTATGCCGTGTTCCTGGTATTTGATTGGATGGAGAGTAAATTCTCAAGCTATGTGATTGGTCTGGCGTATCCTTTGATGTGTCACGACCGTGTTCGTGCCGTGAACTTTTCACAGTCATACGAAAGCTGCTCTATTGAACGAGCAGCATCGCGCATGCTGATTGGTTCGGGTGAAGTCGTAAGATTTTTTATTATTTATATGATACTATAATATTCCACTAATATCTTCTCTTGTTGCCTTGCCAACAGACCACTTCAGTTCTCCATATAAGGAAAGCAGACGTGAATGCCGCTGGGAGGTACTCATGTGTTGTAGCCAATGAAAAGGGTTCTGTCGTTACCTGGGCAACCATTGACGTAGTTTCAATCATATCTTCTCCAAAGATCAGATGACGTATGGCTTAAATCACGTGAGTCGTGCGTGACATTTTAAACTTTGTTTTTGCTTATTGCGTGACTGCGTGATACCAAAAGTTCAATATCGATGACATTTTAAATGGATGGCTTAGCTGACACTCATGAAGTGTTTGCGAGAAATGCGTTGCCCACTGCGTTATACATTCAGCTGACATATTGCGTGACATATGCGGATCCGCTGGCGTGACATTCGCTTAAACAATTCACGCTACCTACTTCTTTTTTATGGAACATTTTGATGTCTTGAACGAATTTTGTCTACAAAAATGTATCGCTTCTAAAACTATTTAAAGGAGCTTATTCATTCATGATTGCTTTGGTTTGTGTTGAACGACTTGACCAGAACTTCATTCAATGGCACGTAGTGTGTGAGAGTTTTCAACGACCAATCGTACACAAGCAATGAAGAACCAAAGACCATACGTCATTGGGACGCGATATCTGATATCATTCACCAATTTTACACTCCGCATAATATTTTGCTTTTAACGGGGTTACCGGTCTAAAAACGGCTATAAAATTAAAGGTTTTTCAACGGACCACTCTCAAAATTATCATGGATATAAGGGTAGCTTGAAAACATTTTCAAAGAAACAGACTTTCTCGATGGAATTTGTGTCATTTTTTTGTATTTCTATGTTACGTTAGCCTCGCATCCAAGATAATTTTGAGAAAGGTATATACTTATTTCAATAAAGTTTGTCACCTGAAAAGCTAAAAACTGAGACCGACAGGGATTATGGGTAGATACATTTTGCATGTTTCAACCGCTTGATACCAGTTACAGTCTCACCTCCTCTGAGCATCCTCAACTGCTGCAGTTTTTGTCAAAAGCTTTACTTATTGAATATGAAATATTTCCCTTGATTCTCAGCGATCACAGCTTCCTAGGTTTTTGGTGACTAACTTTATTGAAATAAGTATATACTGAAAGCACACAATACTTGCTTTTATCTGTGAAATTGTTTATAAGTTAATTACTGAGTTATTTTCCCACGTTCAGAATATCAAGACGTTTTGTGTATTGACCTCCTTAAGAAGTACAAAGCTTTTGAAGAAATCTTCTTCGAAATTCAATCTTTTTGGTTGTTCCTTATCCATCTTTAAAAAACATAAGATGCATTTGCAATTTCAATATGGGTGTGGACTTCACTGCAATAGTGCGATCTTCCAAGTCCTATCAGCGTGCATTCAAGACATCAAAGCCTTTTTCTACTGTTAGATTGCGAAGAATTTGTTAAAACATTGCTGGAAAAGTGAATAATAAAAATACAATGTTTAGACCTGCGTCACTTTATTAAACTTGATGTCATAACTGAAAGACGAAGACATGGCGGCCATGTTGGTGTACATAACAAGAGAAGCTAACGAGAAATCTTTTGTTAACGTACACCAACATGGCGGTGATGACGTCATAACTGAATGATTCAAATGACAAAGACATGGCGGCCATGTTGGTGTATATCACAAGAGAAGCTAACGAGAAATCTTCTGTTAACGTACACCAACATGGCTGTGATGACGTCACATGGAAACAAACTGAATGATTCAAATGACAAAGACCTGGCGGCCATGTTGGTGTACATAACAAGAGAAGATAACGAGAAATCTTTCTGTTAACGTACACCTACATGACAGTGATGACGACGTCCTAACTGAATGGTTCAAATGACAAAGACATGGCTGCCATGTTGGTGTACATCACAAAGATAATCTAACGAGAAATCTTTCTGTTAACGTACACCAACATGGCAGTGATGACGTCATAACTGAATGATTCAAATGACGAAGACATGGCGGCCATGTTGGTGTACATCACAAAGATAATCTAACGAGAAATCTTCTGTTAACGTACACCAACATGGCAGTGATGACGTCATAACTGAATGGTTCAAATGACAAAGACATGGAGGCCATGTTGGTGTACATAACAAGAAAAGCTAACGAGAAATCTTTCTGTTAACGTACACCAACATGGCAATATGACGTCTTAGCTGAACGATCCAAATGATAAAGACATGGTCACCATATATTGGTATGTGTTCACAAACCTTGAGAGGGAGTGGATACGATTCACGTGGTCTACCACGTGACGTACTTCAATATCGATGCATAAATAGTTAACTATGATCGATGTTTGCAAACATACAACACGTGTATTTTTAAATTCCCAGCCAAATTGACGGAGCTCACGAACTTAAATCGTTAACATTCTAGTTTTTGTAACAACTAATATGAGATGAAAATGTTATCATTGGATGGCGTTAGACTACTATGTATACAGCACCTGTCGCAATAATCCGCTAAAATGTTCAGGACACCATAACGACTCCTCGCTAAGGTATACGTAAGTAAATACAGTGTCTATTTTCCTTTGAACTACTTTGTTTACGAAGTCAGAATTAAAAGTTTCTTCCTGTGAGCTTGGTATCTTTAACCCAAATTTTCACTCAAAAATCTTGTAATTCTCTAACTCGATAATTTTTCGACTTTTTGTTGTATCATTGAGTCTAGTATTTTCACTTCGAATTAACTTAGTTAATTACCTCATGCGAGCTTCGTATTTTTAATTAACCCAAACCTTCACTCTTGTAATTCTACCTATAAATTATGACTATTAACTTGTTTAATTGCCTCATATGAGGTTCGTATTTTAAGCCCAAATTTTCACTCAAAAATCTTGTAATTCCAACTCGTTAATTTTGACTTTGTTGTATAATTGAGTAGTTTCATTTAAAGTAATTCGTGAATATTTTTGTTTTCGATTCTATATTTACTTAAGTATATGGCTTTATTTATCTAGTAATATTAAAACTCAGCGTACTAAGTAAATCAAGCGTATGTTCATGAAGTAATTAAAGAAACTTGGCTTTGTTAATGTTTGGGGTTTCTTATAGTATAGCATGCAATTTCGATACAAACCTCGCTTTTGTAGTTTTTTAGACCCAAGCAATTTGGATCGGAGTTCTCGAACTTTGACGAATAAGTGATGATGAGTTTCAGTGGACTGAGAGATAATTATATTTATTTAAAAAAGCTAAATAATGATGTCAAAACGTAAAAATCTTAAAAATAAATGTAACGAATATATATAACAAAAAAATATCAAGAACTCGTCGTTCCATCTCAATACAAAATTATGAAAAAAATATATTCTTATCAATTAAAGGGTAAAATTACTCGATGCTGATTGGCTAGAAGGAGGGCTTTTTTCTGTAATTCGCGGGACCGAATTACCAGGGTATGATTGGTAGTTCAGTTGCCTAGCAACGCTTGCAAACCGTAAACTTTTCTTTTTACAAACCAAAATGGCGTCACATTTTACATAATTTGGAAGGCGAAGAAACCATAAGAAAAATATAAAGTTCAAAAGAAAATGAGAACACTAGAAAGAGTACAGGTGTTTGGATTAATGTTTAACGTAAATGACCTATATTTATTTGTGTTTCTTAGCGAAAAGTTTATTATTGATACCATATTTGTTTGTTTTTAATTTATGCTATTTCTTAATGGGAAGAAGAAGAAAAAATTGACGGCCTAAGTCTAGACAAGAAGTCACCTAGAGTACTTTGAATGACTCAATTATCGATACATCCAGCTTAGCTTTACACCATTGCACCTGGCTAACGATTGTCTKAATATGGAGTTCTTTCTTTCTTTCTGTCCGTCACTTTTATTGAGATGTTGGTGAGATTTTCGATCACTTCCTCAACGCCAGTAACATACTCCTTTGCACACTATTAACACATTAGCTTCGTTTTCGATGCATAACACTGTTTTAGAAGACCACAAGATCACTTCTACGGGTTTATCCTCGTTTATAAATAAGCAGCTATTCGCAGATAATATTTAAAAGTACGTAGGGATTTAGTATTTAGCCATATTTATTTTTACTTTATTTCATTCTTTAGTTACATAACAGTTGACTTTTGCAAATGAACCGCACTGCAATGGAACACACTTCCTGTGAACATTCATTACGCATAAAATCATTAGACTCTTTTAAACAGCTTTTAAAAACATTTATTTTTGTTTGAACATGACGTGAAATTTTGAAAACAATGAACTATTATCTACTTTTTTTTTATGAAGTTAATATTTTTAAATATATATATATTTAACAAATGTATATTTCTATAAGGCCTAGGGCAAACGTCGAGCTTTCCATGCACCGAACTCATTAAACACAATGGATATCAGGTGATAATGAGGTGGCATTCTTTGATGTAATTAAGTTCGGTGCATGGAAAGTTTGACGTTTACCCTAGGCCTAAGTTTTTCATTTTTTATCTGTCAGTTCAATATCGCTAATATTGTATTTCTCTTTTATGCTTTGTAAAGCGTGTTGAGATTTGTGGAACACGTGCACGCTATATTAAGAATTATTATTTTATTATTATTATTATTATTATTATTATTATTATTATTATTATTATTATTATTAAGTTTCGCCCTTGAAAGATCGATTAGTACGTAGCCTAGCAGAATGCAAGTAGTTATTAGTAGTTGTAACTATTGTAAGTCGGATCCCTGTTAAAAGAACTCATATATTATTATTACGGCTTAAAAAACTCCTGATGTATGTTCTCATACTGTACCGAATTCTTTACGAAATGAACCAAGTTTGATAGAGAAAATCCAAGTTAAAGTTTATGCAAATGAAGACGAATCTTTATCCGATATAAAATCACCTTCATGGTCATGATTTCTATTGTGTTTTCTTCATGAATTATTAATGAGTTTTCTAAATCAGTTATAAAATCACCTTCATGGTCATGATTTCTATTGTGTTTTCTTCATGAATTATTAATGAGTTTTCTAAATCAGTTATAAAATCACCTTCATGGTCATGATTTCTATTGTGTTTTCTTCATGAATTATTAATGAGTTTTCTAAATCAGTTATAAAATCACCTTCATGGTCATGATTTCTATTGTGTTTTCTTCATGAATTATTAATGAGTTTTCTAAATCAGTTATAAAATCACCTTCATGGTCATGATTTCTATTGTGTTTTCTTCATGAATTATTAATGAGTTTTCTAAATATATTTAAAAACTCATTAATAATTCATGAAGAAAACAATAGAAATCATGACCATGAAGGAGGTTTTATATCTGATATAGATTCGTCTTCATTTGCATAAACTTTAACTTGGATTTTCTCTATCAAACTTGGTTCATTTCGTAAAGAATTCGGTACAGTATGAGAACATACATCAGGAGTTTTTTAAGCCGTTTAATAAACTCGCAGATCTTGTCTTATCGGGTCTAAAACCACTCGGCTACGCCTCGTGTTTTATACCCGATAAAACACTCCTGCTCGTTTATTAAACAGTACATATATATTTTTAATTAATGAATGTTTAGTCTAAAACACAGCAGTATTTACCGAATGAGAAAAGAAACTAACAAGAAGCGAATCGTGACTTTGTATGTAAAGAAAGAAGTAGTACTTAAGAGAATGGCACAGAGTGAAAAGTTATTGGTTAACTTAAATTTCCATAGTACGTTAAAAGATTCCTATTACGAAGCCTACTAGTAAAGACAGAAATGATACTCAATGGAATGACACATCCGAAAAATATTGGACCATAGTTGAAAATCATTTCTAGTAAAGAAAGAAGTAATACTCAAGGGAATGACATATGGTCTAGAATGGGAAAATATTGCACCATAGCTGAAAAGCATTCTTAGTAAAGAAAGGAATAATACTCAAGGGAATGACACATGGTCTGAAATGGGAAAACATTGCACCATAGCTGAAAAGCATTCCTAGTAAAGAAAGAAATAATACTCAAGGGAATGACACATTGTCTGAAATGAGAAAACCTTGCACCATAGCTGAAAAGCATACTTAGTAAAGAAAGAAATAATACTCAAGGGAATGACACATGGTCTGAAATGGGAAAACATTGTACCATAGAATAATACGCGATGAAATAGAAATAGGAAATGAAATTGAACGAAAATAACTTTAAGATAATAATGATAGCATTTACGGTCGATATCTTTTACTTTATCAAATAATAAAAAGCTGATTTTCTTGTACAAGAACTTTATGCATGGTAAAGATTTTTATGCATGATTAGATTAGGATTAATATGAGATTAGACATCTTGGATTAGAAAATAATACTTAAAACTTTTATTAGCGCAAATAGAAAATGTTGTTTTGGAAAATTTCAAATTAGTCGAGTCCTAAACTTAAAAGAAAACAAAGAATAACAATGACGAAATAATAGGTCGATATAGCGACTTAAAAAATAGGATAAATTATTGAGAGGGAAAATATTATTGTAAAAAGGAAACAGTCAAGAAAACGTTTTCATATACATTTTTATTTATATTCAAAACGAATTTTCATTTTCAAAAAAAAAAGTCATTTAAAATTTTTTTTCATTTTCTTTTGAAATAAACCATTCATAAATTGATAAAAGAGAATTGAATCCATGCACCCATTAATGCTGAAGTAAGTACACCTAGCTTTGCACAATTGCTCTCCGTCGTATTTTCTTTTCAACTACAATGAACACTTGCCTCTTGCTTGTCTAGTAATTACCTGAAAACCAGATGTCCGAGACAATTGATTAGCAAAGCATAAGTAAAAATGCTCAAAATATAATATATGTAGAGAGCTCATACATCTTAATAAGCTTTTAAAAATGAGATCACTGTCTCACTTTACTTTGAATAATTTTATCTACAGAAAATATCTTTCAAGTAACAGTGTTGTAAAGCCTAAGCTCTCCTCGACGGTCTGGTTTCTTCGCTCGGTTGAAGTTAAAGTTTCAAGGTCGTACGAAAACTGTGAGTATAAAACATACAATTTATTCCTTTGCGCTGCATTTCGGAAACATTTCTTCCTATCCATTAATTTAGATGTCTTATAATGATTTTTTTAGAGCTCTTTTAGCCTTGATTGTAACTCAGGAGTCTGAAATTTTTATCAACTTGTTATCTATGAACTGAACACTAGACCAGATTAATTTAAAACATCGCATTTTTTTTTTCTTTTTTCCATTTTGTATCATCTTGCTTTGATTTTTCTTTCTATCAGAGCACGAAGATCTTGAAAAATAAATAATTTCTCAGAAAAATAATGTTTCTTCTTCTGTTTTTGAAAAGGTTTTCTGTCTTCTGTTTAAATGAGACAATTTGATGATTTTTGGATAGAAATCTAAGCTTCGAATTTAGTCTTTTACTAGCTTGCAAGTCCTTAGCTTTTCCTGAATATTTAATTTAAACATTTGGTCATATGCAGATTAGGGGATATCTTTTTATTATCAAAATACCACTATCTCAACCCTGATGGAATGAGACGCGATAGTTATAAAGGAATATGTCTTCTGAAATTTCGACTGTTCAAAGAGAATGAACGAAGCAAAATATTTCGCAAATAGGGGAGTGTATGCAAAAATAATCTTAATACGATTTTCAAACAACAGGAGAGAAAAAAACTAGAACATTTCAAACGTACTAAAATGAACTAAAGAAAGAAAAATTGAATCAAAGCTTACAATATGTTATTATTTTATTATATTTTCATGTAAAAAGTTTTTTCCTTGTCGATAAAGAAATTTGGCGGGGAATTTTTAGCTAAACATCTGCGTTTTAAAGTATATATGCTCAGTTGAATGAGTTGACATGTTCACAAGTCTTATGTTAAGTTCCAAAAAGTCAAACTCTCTCATTTCTTACAGTATGATTTAAATGTACAAAGTCACTAGCAATAAATCTACGTCTAAATAAATATTGCGCATATATCTTTTTCCCTCAATATATTTTTAATTTTGAAATATCAAAGTCAGGATCACTGTTCAAATTATCTATAAAAAGAAAAACAAAGCAAGCGGTCGCCCAAGTTGATAACTATAAATCATGACGTATCCATCTCCCATTACCATAGCAACTATGAACTTCATAGATTCAAGTGCTGAGCATAATACTCAAGGTACTCGTGTTTTGAACAACTTTAAAGCTTGATATTGGACTTTGTACTTTTTCTATTGCAGTATCCTTTAAGATTCTAAAAACTAGGAAAAAATACTTTTCCATCCATTTACGACATTTGTTGCCAGGTGTGTGTGTGTGTGTGTGTGTGTGTGTGTGTGTGTGTGTGTGTACACACTCGATTGCAGAAACGTTGTAGTATACATTTATACATTTATACAAATATCTAATGAGATGCATAATGCAAAATAACCATTTTCAACGCTTAAAACCAACTGATTTATAATCTGTACGATCTAATAGACAAGAAAAAAATATTTTGACAGTCATTGAATGAAACAAACAATAAATAAAGCGATTTTTCTGTGTTGCATATCATTAAATATACTGAATAAATTAGATATATGTATAAATGTATACTACAACGTTTCTGCAATCGAGAAAGGTTGTAGCATAGTATACATTTATACATATACCTAATGAGATGCAAGATATAAAATGAGATGTTTTACGTTCTGCATCTCATTAGGTATCTGTGTAAATGTATACTACAACCTTTCTGCAATCAAGTGTATATATATATATATGTATTCTTTTTAAGGGATAGGACGGACCGTACAAATTTTCAGTACAATCGGCTTGGATTTAAGTCTAGTCCTCTTTGTTGAAAAATATATACACAGATTCATCAAATATAAATCCAAACTTCTTGTTTCGAATGGATTTATCGACTACAACGAACAGCTATCTTATTTACGAGAGTAATAAAAGAAATGCCAGGCAGTCATTCCTACTATTCTTGGATCTTGGAATAAGCTATCTCCCATCGCTTATTGCTTAGCCTTTATTACCTATTGCCAATGTTATTCCGGTGGCTTATCTTTTCAGCATCAGTAGGGCAGCTGCCGTAGTAAAGGCTTCCACGTTTACGACAGTTAGTTTTATTGCCCTGTTAAATTGTGACTCAATATAAAAAAAACTTTATTTGAATTTCAAAATCACACCTTTATCCGGAACTAAAAATATATTTCTTTTATGTTTTCTGTTAGTTTTAGACAAATGCAATTTAAAGCGCTCTTTTAATTACAATTTTCGTTTTAGTGTTTTCCCGCCATTTTTAATTCGCGAGCGTCCGCGTTTCATTGACACCATCGTGTGGTGGCACCAGCCTATATAAATTCACTTGGCGAATATTCAATTACGTAAAACTTTATTAAAAGTAAATTGAATATTTTTATTGAACATCGCCAAATGTTTTGCTAGAAAATACACTAGTTGCTCTTTTTGAAATTAATAAGATTTTTATGCTCTTAAAGGGAAAAGAATAGTTTTTTTTAATGAAGAAAATTGAAGCCTTATTCGACTCATACGGTACGAAAAGTGATGAAAAAAATTTGATTTTCTCATTTTTTCTGTTTCTGGAAGGAAGAACTCAAATTTATCATTAAAACGAGAAAACTGACTTAAGACGTATTGGCTCGCCTCAGGCTTCTACGGTTATCATTCAAACTTCGTGACACATTTATTGGTAAAAGAAAGAAAGAAAGTGTCAGTAAAATTGATCTTAGCCCTAAGGCTATTTGACCTTTCAAGTCATTAGGCTACTAGAAGACCTAGAAGGAATCCTTGAAGCCTTTCAACAACTCGGCTGGAGAGCAGTGTCGTAAAAAAACGTATGCGCATGCGCCAAATTGTTCAAAAAAAAAAAAACAACAACAAACAAACATGGCCGCTTGAAAAACATTCTAGTACAAAAAAATAGAGAACTTTTACATACGATAAAAACAAAACTTAAGCATTGGTTAATAGGTTTAAAATATTAATTTGTCTTAACTTTAATTCAAGAAAATAAGCTTAAGCTAATTTTGATATTTTTTCGAAACCATTAGAAATTTTTTATCGGAAGAAGGTGAGCCCGCCATTTTACCCACGACCGCTGATTTATCTTTCACTAGCCCTATGTTCTCCTGCATGGAGTATGTTATTGAGAAAAAAATGCAACGATACTTAATTTGGGATATTTCAGTCCTTGGTTCTAAATTTTATAGCCGCCATATGTGTTTGTCGATCATTTGAATCATTCAGTTTGTTTTCATGTGACGTCATCACCGCCATGTTGGTGTACGTTAACAAAGATTTCTCGATAGCTTCTCTTGTTATGTGCACCAACATGGCCGCCATGTCTTTGTCATTTGAATCATTCAGCTATGACGTCATCACCGCCATGTTGGTGTACGTTAACAAAAGATTTCTCGTTCACTTCTCTTGTTATGTACACCAACATGGCCGCCATGTCTTTGTCACCTGTCTCTCTTTTCAGTCATTTCTTGACAGGACAGCTGTAAAACTCTTTTAGTTTACACTCGACCTATTTTCAAGGAGCTTTTTTATGAATTTCTCAGCGTACGTGATCAAGTTTCATGCCCATATTATCTAATCGTAATAGCCCAAAGAGTTTCAGATGAGCCACTTGAAAAGCATTTCCCAGTTTTGAAGGAAAATACACCAAAAAAGGCCTAATTGTTCGCCCTAAGGATTTAATAGTCTCAAAGAAGAATATCTAGAACTCTGCTGTCGTTGCCTCTTAGCTAATTGCCTTTCATTGGCCTGGCTTGACGTCAGACGTACTGAATATCTTTTAGAAAACAATAGTAATATCTATAGTGGATAAATAATCATGAGAGCGGCAAGTTAGTTTTAATTCTACGATTGAAGAAATCTCCGTGGGTTTTCGGGATAATGATGAGCATAAACTAGGCGATATTTGCTTTAAATATTGAGAATCTCCTCGTAAAAGTGTCTTCAAGGTCTTAAATTTGACGTAGTTTATAATGGGTTATGTTTTTCTTGCTTAATTTAAGTGGCTTAGTTGCCACCGCTACTCCTACTACGACTATAACAATAATAATAATAATAATAATAATAATAATTAATATTCATATGATCAAATGCGCATATCAACAATATCAACACAACTACTGCTGCTGTACTACTGGCTGCCGTTGCCCGCCTTCCCCTGCATCGCTACCGCTACCGCTACCGTTACCCATACCGCTTCCACTCGTGCCACTACCACTAGCAATACTACTACAGCTACTACTACTAGAGTAGTTTTCGTATGACTGTGAAAAGCTCAGTGCCGTATAAGCGTGCCATGCCGTGACCGTTATGTTTTCTAGAATTTTAATTGGCTGATTTTTTTCTCGCGCAATGTTATTGGCCTAAAAGTGCCGTGACCTTTGGCGTGACCGTGTCCGCGCCGTGTTTATGTCGTGTTCTGGATATTTGATTTGGATGGAAGGTAAATTCTCAAGCTATGTGATTGGGCTGTTGAATATGCCTTGCTGTGTCATGACCGCGTTCGTGCCATGAGCTTTTCACAGTCATTCGAAAAATGTTCTATAATACTTTATCATATAATTATCCATAAAATACCTATATTTCTCCTTTTCGAAAAACTGATATTTTCACATGTGAAAATGTGAAAATATCGTTACCAATAGAATTTAAGCTATTAGTTTATAAATAAATACTTTTTTATAATAATAAAAAGCTTATTAAGTTGATTTTATGGATAATTATATAATAAACAGAATATTACATAGCCGCTTGGAGATACGAAATTTATCTTCTCGTGTTGAAAATCTCTCACTCGTTCGCTGCGCTCACTYGTGAGAGATCTTTTCAACACTCGGAGATAAATTTCGTATCTCCGCGCGCCCATGTAATATCCTCTATATACACTGCTGCTACTATTAAACAGATAATAGTGATTTTCTTCTATTTATACAAATATTTATATTATTGTAATTAGTAGTATTTAGAGGGCCACAAGTTTATCAGTTAACAAAATTACT